AATATATTTACCTTTGGAGGCAGGTATGATAGAAAGAGAATGTCATTTGGACTGAATTTGAGTTATTGACTCATAATGACAATATGCTGATACTCAATTCCAATCCCTTTGAGTTTGATCAAGGCCTTTCTAAATGTTAAGGTAATTCTAGGAGGCGACTTAGAATCTCAGATTTTTAAAAATATTTATTTATTTATTTCTATGTGGTCTTGAGGATTGAACCCAGTGACTCATACCTGTGAGGCAGGCGCTCTACCACTAAGCTATAGCCCCAGTCCCAGAATCTCACATTTTTGGAGTGAGTCTATGTTCCATGGTAAAAGTCAGTGGGGGAAGAAGTCTCATTTTCTTTTTAAAATAATCACTGTGGGCTAGGGATACAGCTCAGTGGTAGAGTGCTTGGCTATCATGCATGAAGCCCTGTGTTCCATTCCCACTATCTCAAAACATAACACAACAAATTACACCTCCTTTTTGCCTTCCCAATGATATACATTTAACATGACATCTGCATGCCATATCTGCTATAAAAAACCTTTGTAGAAAAGTTTCCTTCTCTGCAAAGACTTTTAACATACATTGAGCTTTTTAACCAAATAACCTGCATTTCCCAAACTCCACATTAAAAACTACTGCAAGCAGCATGCAAAAAGAAAAATGCTGGAGCAGAACTGTTCACACAGCCTGGATTTCATTTCAGTAATTCAGAACGAGCCTTAAGCCACATTACACAGTGATGGCAGTCAACATGCTGCACTCAAGTTAGAAACACATTTCCTTTTAGTTTATTCCAGTTCCTAACATACATTTGTTGCAGTAATCTTATTTTTTTGCACAGCCAATAGTACCAAACAAACAGAAAAGGTCTAGATTTTATCTGTTGCCTGGTAACATAAGTACTCAATAAAAATAACAGGAAATATTTCCCAAAATTATGGTAAGAGAAAGAGATAGGGAACCCACACTTGTTGTGGGATGTGATGAGTTTATTCAGCAATTTCCTAGCTAGTTTTGAATTCAATGCACAAAAAGGAGGATGAGAAGTTCCTATTTATATGATAATAGAATGTTGAGAATGTAACAAAATATATGGAACAAACTAGGATTCATTCAGAAACATTTGTGGGCATGTTGTAGATGGAATTGAAGCTGCATTAATATTTGAAAGTGTGTCTAATTTTTGTCTGAAATGACTGGATGCAGTTATGAACTGTGTATTGAAATATCATCATATTGCCCCCCTTGAAGAGGGCTCTATTTTTGTTTTGCGCATGTGCAATCTCAATTTGTTCAGCTCTGGCACCTCCTGCACACCTACCATTCCTAACCCCACTGTAGTCTGAATTTTACCTAGTCTTTAAGACCATAAGCAAAAAGTAATATTAAGGGTTGAATATATGTCTGCACTTGGTATCTTAAACCCAGTGCCTCACACCTGCAAGGCAGGCACTCCACCACTGAGCTATAGCCCCATCCCCAGAATCTCACATTTTTGGAGTGAGTCTACATTCCAAAAATTGTGGCTCAGTGGTAGAGTGCTTGTGTAGCATGTGTGAGACACTGGGTTTGAATCTCAGCACCACATATAAATAAATAAAGCCCACTGACAACTAAAAGAAATTTAATTTTTTTATATTGATGCTTTTTAAGTTTATATATAATGATTTTGAGAAGTGGCAAAGTATTTTTTAAAGTATTCTTGTAGGTGCCAGGGCATTGCGAATAGAGAGAAATGATGGGAGAGTGATGCACTGTTTTCAAGGCAAGACAGTCATTTAGACATCTCAATGGTAAGACACATGATTTCTAATTATAGCCCCTGTAGTTTGGGGTGGGGTATAGACATAGTCCCATTATGTCAGTGTTAATTGAAACCATGAGAATGCAACTCTCTTTGGCGTAGGAGCTATTAATTTTCATGGTGCATGTAACCACTTGTGCATTTCCAAAAGACCACAACAGACTTTGCCCTTTCAGGCAAAACTGCTGCTACAAGCAGGTATATAAGAAATGTATCATGAACCATGGCAAATAAAGATGGAATAAGTAATACAAAGACGTGCAGCACTAGGGTATTCTTGAACCATCTGCTACTAATTAAGAAGACTTTTCTGAAGTTTGAGTAGAAAGCTCAATGGAGTGCATTGAAATCACTGGATGTTTGGGCCCAGAAAATTGAAGCAAGGCACATTTACTTCAGCGAAGCAGTGCCTTTATCTTGAAGTAACTTAAACTTGATTGTGCTAATGGCCTTTCAAAGATTTGGCTGTGATCAAATCATTGCTCAACTTAAAACTGCAACCATTTTGTTGCAGAAGTAAACTGTAAAAGTAGGGCATCCACTCATAAAGAGAAAGTAGGAACATCTCTGAGTTAAGTATGTAATCAGTAGCCCCAAGACTAGGATGCTTGTCATATTTGATTTTAAGGATCTCTTTGTAGATAAGTAGGAAAGGTGGGTCTCTTCAATTAGGAAACACATTTCCTACTCTAAAATGTCTTTTTTAAGCTCAAGGCAATTAATTTTATTGGGCACCAAAAGAAGGTATGTTTATTTCTTGGGTTGTTCTAGTTCCACATGGAAATTGCTGGTGGGCAGGTGTTAGAAGGGGTGATCCTGTATCTGAAAAAAATTGCTTCAGGGCCCAAACTGGTAGAAGATTTTAATTATAAATTAGTCACATGGATTTTTTCAACATTTTCAATTTCAAATAGGTTTTGAAAGCCAGGTCATTCATTGTCTTCCTCATGTCACTGTACCTTAAATTCTATTTAACTGGTAGTCATATTTCAACAGTTCATGTAATATTTTCTCAAGTGTGCAAGTATGCTTGGCATGCTTTTACAAACATTCCACAGATGGTATATTTGGATACAATTCTTGCTTATGTACCTTTAGAAACTGATATGACGCCTATGTGTCTTCCTATTGTTAATTTAGATAACATAAACCAACCTGGTTGAAGGGTTTGATTTCAAGTCAATCCTCAAGTCTAGAAGCAGCTCAATGGTGAAGCCAAAACACTATTTTTCTATAAAGTTTCTGATTACAAATACAATACTTAAAGTATATAAAACATTATTTCCAACCTTACTGCCTTTTCAGCTTAGGGTAAACACAAGGAACTGTTGAAAAAATGTCAAATGTAAATAATTGATCTGGATTAATCATGCACTGTTTTAGGGACTCTGACATAAGTGTTTCCAAAATTAATAATGGTTGTTGGGGTTGGCAGAGTTGAGGAACCAAATTATTCCTTTAATTATAACAATCATCCCCTCACCCCAACCACAGCCTCATATACCCCCACAGATACTTGGAATGTATAATAAAAATATCATAAGGAAGAAGAATGAACAAAAACAGTACAAAGAATTATTTTCTGATAGTTGATGGGCTGAAGATGATATAGAAAAAAAAACAATAATGTAATGCAATCAATCAACTAATCCTTATTATTATCCAATTCTAATGTGAAAAATCGTATAAGCAACTGTTTTTCATAACACATTATCCTTTAGAATCATTTTCTTCATTCTGCTAAATAAAATCTTCCTCTTTAACTGGGATGACTGTAGGTCCTGGGCAGTCCTCATTGCTTATTAATAGTGACACCTGTTGTCTATATGTAGTTATTAGCAATAAGCACCTCCTGGTTTAGACAATACATGTCCAAGTTTGGACAATATATTATATGGTCACATTAACTATAGATGAACTCTCTGATAGGGAGTCAGGTGACTATTTCAGTGTTTGTAGTCCTGTCCAGTGTTTCTGTTGACCGGTCCTTAAAACAACCAAATGGCCTAATTGGAGGCTGCTATCCTGTGTGTATAGTCTCTTTAGCAATGACCTACACTTTGGCTTTTCCTTTGAGGGCCTAAAGGTAACACTAACATCAATCTTGCAAACATAACTTTGCCCTAGTATATCTGTTTCTTCCCTGGTATTGGGGTCATGGAAGGGGAGTGGTGGAATGGCTTTGCAAAAATTTTTCAGGGGATGGGAATATAGTTCAGTGGTAGAGTGCTTGCCTAGCATATGCAAGATCTTGGGATCTATTGCCAGCACCACACACAAAACAGCAGCAATAATAACAACAACAACAAGCTTCATTGAGGAAGGAATGGGAAAATAGCAATAGAACCTTTTCCCCTTTGAAATCTTGCTCAAAACCCTATTGCATAAAAGCAAAAAAAAGCAAAGCTTCTCTGGTGAAACTAGGGAGGTAAAGGCACAAATGCACAGTCTCACCCACTAAAAAACAGCAGATCCCTTTATCTTTGTGGAAGCCTAGAAGCACCTTCCAAGCTGGCCTCAAGGACCATAATCTGAAAAAAAAAAGCACTGATCTAGTCCAATTTGCTTAATGTACAATTGAGGAATCAGGTTCATTTCATCATCCTGCTTACACACTACAATTTTATTTCCTGTAATGGTAATCCTATAAATAATGTCATGGTCAAGAGCAATGGGGCCCACATTAATTATCATGGAAAGCTCTGTCTTCTAAAAGGCTCTGAGTATAACTTATAATAAGGGAGCATGGGCTCATGGGTTGGTTATAAATGACTTTCTAGACTATAACTAGTAGGCTCCAACATAGTCACTCAAAACAACCAAATGTGGAACCTGTGTGTATAAGTTTCTTTTCCAAGATGGGGAGTGGAATAATAAGAACTGAAGAGTATGGAGGTTATTAAGCTCATTTTTGAAGTTAAGATTCCAGAGCAAACACATATCCTACTTCTAAGAATGGTTGCTAAGGAAACCACAGAAAAGAATAATGATATATGAAGATGTTCATCATGGTTTTGTTTAGCAACTCTAAAAAGCACAAGTATGAGAACAAAGTGTGAGAGAAGAGGAGGCAAGAGATAAAGAGAGAAGACTTTTTGAGCCAATGGAATTCTAGTGATTCATTTCTGTACCTTTCCCAAACTTGCTTTTAAAATGAAACAAAACAAAAACACACACATAGAATGCAAACAGCACTTACCACAGAGACTTTGCCCACTACATCTCTTGCAACTGCTAAGCCTTGAGCAAAAGTACGGGCTGCCACAAATGCACGAGTAACTTGTAGCTTCAATTTCCGAGGGACATCTCCAAAGGGCTTGAGCTGCTCAGTATACTTGCTCACACATTCCAGATACTCATCTGTGAAGTGATACTGGGAATTCACCAGGCGGAACATCCGTTCAAGGAGGCGAGCCCAGAAGTCATTAAGCATTTCTTCCAGGTTCACATTTCCTACCACATAGTAGTGCTTCAACTCCTTGAAGAGCTCTTTAAATACTTCTGAATTTTGCATGTATAAGCGGCCATATGTCTTCACAAACATATCATTCAGGGATTTCTCTGCATTTTCAAGTAGTTCTTTGAAGAATTCTAAAAACAAAACAAAAAATGAGAGAAGGGAAGAAGGGTTTTTTTTTTTTTTTAGTAATTAAATAACGAAATGTTTTGTAGATAAATTTGAAAACTGAAAAGCATCAAGAAATTAAATTGGAAAACATGTTTGTATACAGAGTGAATGCTTTCTGGGGAATTTATCAATTCCAATCACTTGTCAGTGAAAAAAAAAAAAACCTATGTCACAAAGTCACTTACACATGTGTCTACCTTTAAGAGATGGAAAAAATGAAATTTAATTAAAAATATGAAATTTTAAAGCAACAACTACTCAAGAGTCAGTATAATATACACACATTCTCTTTCTGAATGAAAAACTAAACAAAAATAAACAAATATCTAAAATATCAGGTTTTGAGGAACTTTCAACAGCATGACTCTAACCCCTAATTGTAACCTAAGAGCTGGATAGGCATTCTCAAAAGTTGTTTTACTTGGGTGTGAGGTTTTTCATTTCTCCTCCTTACATATCTATGTAGTAAGAAATTCTTGAGGCTAAGAAACATGAAATAGCCCTAGAAGCAAGCACAGAAGGGTTCTGAAAGTAAGTTCTTGGGTCCTCTGTGATATTAATATAAATTAATCTTGGGCTCCTAAAAGATTCATACAGTGTCCTTTGTATGTGAAAGAAAAAAAGAAAGAGACATAGACAATAAGAATATAAATGCAAGGCTGGAGTTGTAGCTCAGCAGTAGAGCACTTGCCTAGCACATGAGAGGCAATGGGCTTTATCCTCAGCACCACATAAAAAATAAATATAAATACATAATGGACTTTAAGCATAGCTTTTATAAGAGGACATGGAAAAATAACCGAAAAAATACAAACAGGAATACCTAGTTATTTTAGATTTATATTTTGGCCACCACACAGCCATGGACAAAGTGTTAAAGATTTTAATCTCTCAAGTACAAATGATGAATTGGTTTTCTCGTCTTGGAGCTTTTCTCAGGAAGTTCAATGAAAAAGAGGAGCTAACAGAGTATCTGTAACATTAATCATTCTTAAAGAATCTCTTGCCTGGTATAAAAATAAACACCTCATGATATCAAGTTTATAAGCAGGAAATATAATAAATACCAGAGCAAAATATAAGGACCACATCAAATAAGAAAGTGTCTCTAAGTGAACATGGAGCAGAAAGAAAATATGCCACATACTTCAAAGCAAGAACATTGGCAAGCTTATCAAAATACAATAGAGCTACAAAACTATTCTCTTCTCACGCTGGGTGGACAAACCAGAGACTGACAACTAACTCCAAATACATTTTTACAAAACCTGAACTATCTTTTTTGGAAAAAGATAGAAGTGTGTGTGACTAACCCTTTCGTGCCAAGAGATTCTCTACCTATGTCTCTCAAGCCCCTAACTCATCACTTCATGTTTCCTTGAGATTTAGGGATAAAGTCCATAGTTCTTTCTAGTGCTAGGTTTTCAAATTTTGAATATGCTTGTTTGTTTGGCTTTGGGGGAGCTCTCTCCTTCTTTCATCTAGTTTTTCTTTCTACTATTGCTGGTCTTTTATTTCCTAGGCTTGGATTCTCTCTGCAGAGTAAACAAACAGGCAGGTCAACCCATCCCCATTGGCATTTTTACCAAAGCTCTCTCCCTTCAAGTGAGAGGGCAGAAAATGAAAAAAAAAAGAGCTAGAGGAACTACATGAGTCAGGGTTCTCCTAAGGAAAATAACCAATAGGGGGAAAAAAATATATATATATATATAAAATTAGATTGGCTCACACAATCACAGAGGCTAAGAAGCCCCATGATGGCCACATATGGGCTGGCGAGCCTCAGAATCTGATAACTGCTAAGTCCAAAAGGCCAGAAGCCTGAAAATGAGAGAGAGGTCAATGATACTGCCCCAGTCCTGGGACAAAGGCCTGAAAGTCCCCTGGAGTGTCGCTGGTGCATATCTAAATTCAAAAGCTAAAGAATCTAGAGTCTGATGCCACAGCAGCACAAGAAGGGTCAAGTGTAAGCAGTACCAAGAGCTGGCTTCCCTGTTTCTTCCATGTTTTTTGTTTCATCTGGGCCCAGACTATTTGTTGGTGCTGCTGGCATTCAGAACATGGCTTCCTCCACTCAGCTCAGTGACCCAAATACCAATCTTCTCTGGAAACACTTTCACAGACACACCCCGATGTGTGCTTTATCAATTCTCTAGGCATCCCTCAATTCACTTGACAACCAAAACTAACCATTGCAAGAACCATGTAAGTAGTCAACTATCCTTTTATTCTCTCCAAAATCCTGCAGAGTTTTCAAAGCATGAGCCGGGGACCAGCACTGCATCAGAATCAGCTAGATACTTGTTAAAAATACAGGTTCTTGGTCCCACCCCAGTCTTACTGCATCAGAAACCCTGGGGTTGGATCTACCCTTGTGTGATTCTGCTGTAGCCTGAGGTTGGAGAACAACTGTTCTACCTGATAAAACTTCTCCCATTTCATTTTTCACTAGCAATCACCAGCTGCTCAGCAACTACTGTGTTGACTGTAGAGCATTTGGGACAAGCAGTACTGTTTTAATCAAGGGGAAAAGTCTTTCGAATAAATTGCACCTAAAAAAATTGTTACAGCCTTAGATGTTATTTTTATGGTGTCTTGGGGACAAATTTTCTTATATGGGACCCTCTTAACTAAGTATTAATGTGAATGATTAAATGCATGCAGCACTTTTCTACAATTCAAAGTTGGGCAGTCTGTGGATGAGAAGGAACCTTAAATGTCATCTGATCTATGTCTCATACTGTGCTTGAATCACCAGCTTCCATGCTAAGTGTTGTTTGCCAATCAGGAAACTAACGGAGCATGTGGGTTGTGTTGTGACACATCCAGTGTGTTGCATATATAGCACTCACATATTGGAAAAATAAAGCCTGGTCATTGAGAACAATATGCAAGCCTTGTGTTAAGGCCACATTATTAATGCTGCATGACCTAAAAGAGCGAGTTCCAACAGCAATCACAGGTTTTTCCCTGTATTACATTTTCATTATATTGCTCATAAAATTGGTACACATCAGAAAAACTGGGTGTTAAGAATTTTTTGGTTTCTCCCTTCAAATTCACTTAATGAATCTTTCTTAATACTTTCTTACATTTTTAGTGAATGGCACCTACAGTCATAGCTTTTTTTTTTTTTTGAAATTGAGGGAGAAACATACAGAATGGCACATCTAGCTTAGTTTTAATTTAAAACTTCTAAAAATGTCAAAGTTCATCCCCTTTAGGTTTCAAAATGTTGCAGGCCAAACAAGCATGAAGACACTGAACGTTCTATGGAAAAAGTAAAACATTCTTGCAGTTCCTTGTACAGGCCAGGAGTTTAGCAGTTGATATAGCTACATAAAATATAGCCACTCACAGTATAAGAGAAATGAATGATTCCATGTAGAGGAGACTGATTTGAAGCTAATATGAACACCACCATGGAGTTTACACTTATTCTCACAACTCACAGTCTATCTGGGAAAATCTTAAGAGTGTGTGAATTTAAGTTAGTTTTTACTTTAAAAAAGCAGCTTGGTGCTATCTGCATACTAAATCCTAATTCATTTCATCATTCTGAAATTTTATTTCCTTCACATTTTAAAAGAGTCTTTAATGTGGACATATAAGTTACAAATATAAAAATCATTTGAATGGACATGTGGTTAATAAATGCTTGAGAAATTCTATAAAACTGATATAATAAACTAAAACCTCACAATTTAATCTCTCTAAATGGCTATACAATTTGACAAGTATGTACTGAGTGGATATTATGGGCTCAAATCAAAGCATACAGTTTAACCATGCATCTCAACCTTCCTTCTGCCCAATCAGACTACAATGAAAGTTTCTAGAAAGACAAATTTCCCCCATCCAATTCACCTTTACTAAACCACCACTTTCCACATATGGTTTATGAGTGCACCAGAGATTTAAAAAACATCTATAAAATTCTTAATCCTTGGGCTAGGGATATAGCTCAGCTGGTAGAATACTTTTCTTACATGTACAAGGCACTAGGTTCAATTCCCAGCATCCCCCCAAAATTTTTTTCTTAATCCTTTATTTCATGTAGAAATATTCTTAAATATTCATCTCTTTTGCCTATGAGAGTCAACAGAACAAAAATGATGGGATCCAAAAGTCTCAGACTGATTTTTCCTTAGATTTATTTTCACTAGCACTGTTAAATGGGACTTTTTGGCCTATACTTTCTGTCTGAAAGGATACCTCACATGGATGGCACACATAATTTAAATTATAAAATCTATACTGATTAGGTACAATGTCAGTCAGAGTTTAATAATTTCTTATTAAAGAAAAAAATATATATTTCCTTTCAATTAAATTAGCAGTTCCCATATGTTCTTGCATAATACTTTCATATCCTTGCTCCCTCACCCCTTTTGTTTCCATGATATTTCCTTCTACAGTGAAGAATGGACCATGAATTAGATGTTCAGGTCCTGGTGCACAGCCATCAATACCACTTCCTCAACCACAGTGTTGCTCATCTCCATTCCCACCCTGCATTACATTCTAACTGCTAAATAAAAGCTGCCTAGTCCAAGACACCTAGCAATCTTCCTTCATAATCATTATGCCTGAAACCAATTATAATGTATATGGTGGATAAGAGAACCAGCCAAGAATAGTGTAAACCAGAGTAACACACATTTCAGAAGCCAAGCTAATTGGAAGTTAGATCTCCCTTGCAGCTGTTGAGTGTATTCATGAAAAAAAAAAAATGCTGCTCAAAGAGTCTGATTTAAGTGAAAGTAAGTCAAGAAGGAGGTGTTTAACGAGCATTTGAGAGATAGTGTCTGTGATCAGGGTTTATTCACTCTTCAATTTTCAGTTTGGAGGCATAAGTATATGTGTTCTGAAGATCAAGCAGCTGCCATTCCTTGAGCTCATGAATGGTCACTTAACACTAGAAAGGAAATAAGCACAATAACATGCTGTGAATCTGAAGCAG